TATTCTTCCACAGCCCGCCCGTAGGAGGATATGGCCGACCTAAGACTGGGGGGGATGCATGCTCCGCGATGCTGCGGGCCCACGGGCCCTACGCCCCCCCAACCCCGGATGTGACGGATCTCGGGGTCCCTTGGCTCCGGCCCCCCACCAGATGGGACGGGGGGACGACGACGACGACGAAGACACCGTCCGCTCAGGCTCCCTGAAGCACCACAAATCACGCCACACCCAGAGGGAGGCGACGACGTGGAAGACACCGTCGACGACGATGTTGCTTCTCCTCCTCCCTCCCTCTGTCCCCCTCCTTATCCCTTCTTCCCTCCTCGTTCCCAGGCCCTCTCTTCCCTACCTTGCTCCCTTCTCTCACTTCCTCTCCTCCTCCTCCTCCTCCTCCTCCTCCTCCTCCTCCTCCTCGTCCTCCTACTCCTTCTCCTCCTCCTCCTCCTCCTCCATTCTCCTCCCTGATCGGGGGGGGAGGGCTGGACCCCATACCCACCACCGCACGCCCACAGGGGAAGACCCCGCCACGCCACGCCCAGCCCACGGGGGGGGGAGACCCGTCGCCGGGGGGGGGGGGGGGCTGGAGGCCCGATGGCATCGGCCTGAGAGGACGGGGGGAGGGGGGTTCGCGGACCCACCCTGGATCGTATGCCGCGGTCGGGGCCACGATGCCTCCCCAGATCCCGTGCCCCCCAGTCGTGTCTCCGTGCGACCCTTGGCTTAGGTCGGGCCTGTCCCTCTAAAGGGGGAATATTCCAAAATGGTCAAACAATAGTCTGGGGACTATTTTTTGAGTATTTTTTGGCCACTTTGGGGCATGTTTTGGCTATTGTTATTTTTCGTCGAAAATCCACCTGTAGGGGGACAGGCCCGACCTAACCCTTGGCGCCCCCCCCCCCACCAGGGCGCACGAGGCACGCGCGCAGGACGGGGGAGGGGGGTCACGAAGCTCCCTCCCCGGCGGCGCCTCCGGCGCCGCCCCCGGCGCGCTCCGCGCGCCAGGGAGGGGGGCCCAGCGCCGATCCGAGAAATCCGCGCGGACCTCCGAGTTTTTATGTGTATGTCACTTCTTACTTCTTGTCTCCCTAACGAAGCTCCTGCCCCGCTGCTGCACGGCCTCGCACCCCGCAGCGGAGGGCCTGCACTGCTCCTCGACGCTGGGGCGCCTCCCGGCCCCCGGGAGGCGCCAGGGAAGAGCTAGCTGGGACCCCCGCGCGAGCGGATTCGACAGGGGGCCACGTGCGGACCCTGCCCGTGCCCTCAAGTCGGGCGTGTCTTTCTACAGGGGGGTAGATTCAAAAACAGTGAAAAATAGTCAGGGGACTTTTTAAAACTAGTTTTGACTATTTGGGCGTGTTTTTTATCGTTTTTTTTTTGTTTTTTTTTTTTGTTTTGTTTTTTTTTGTTTTGTCTGTTTCTCTTTTTTTTTAAAAAAAATGTATTATTATTTATAATAACATATAGCACATATGTATATATATATATATATATATGTATATGTATATATATATATATATATATATATATATATGTAAACAATGTTTCGCCCAAGATCCGCCTGTAGGGGGAGATGCCCGACTGAACCCCTACCCCACACGATTTCTGAGGGGGAGGGTGGGGTTCACTTCGTTCGGGAGCTTCCGAGCGAAGCGAGCCCCACCCTCCCCCTCAGAAGTCATGGGGCAGGGGTAGGGTTCGCATGCGGTCCCCTATTCATCTCTACCCTGCCCTTCTACATGCATCCTCCTGACCCCCGGCCCTCAGAGGTCGGCCCGACCAGGAGCAGAGAGGGTCGAGGAGCTGCCATGCCGCTTCCCCAGCTCTGGTGGACCGCGACTGGACACGGTGCCCTCTGAATTCCTGCAGAAGCCGCATGCCACATCAACCTCGCGGACCAGGTATGGATATGACTGATGTGTCGGCCATCTCTGACAGGGACTGCTCGCGTTTCTCTCCCCTATTGTTTGCTTTGCATCCCTGGCCGAAAATGAGACAACCACAACAGCCGGGCTGACGGAGCCAGCCCTGGCGCCCCCCCGGGGCCGATCCCGACCCGCCAGCGGTGACGACCTGCTCGCGGCTCTCGAGACGGGGCGCCGCGCGCGGGTGACCGCCGCTGGGGGGGGGGGCGGGCTCGGCCTTGGGGGGGCCGCCGGGGCCAGTGCCCTCGGCCCAGCGGTTGTGGTTGTCGTTCCTTCGCTCCTGATTCTCAGGAGGGAGAACATATCGGGGTTGGACAGAACCCCCAACAGTGACGCGTCGATTAGTGGATTGTCCGTTTTCGGTTCTCGAGAGCGCGCCGTGGCCGTTATTTTCCAGGCCTGCGCCCGCCAGGTTTGGGCCTCGGGTCGTTTTCACTAAACCACGTTTTACTAAAGGGAGGTCTGTCCATCCCCGATTTTTGTTTTGCATTCTTGGCCGAAAATGAGACAACCACAACAGCCGGGCTGACGGAGCCAGCCCTGGTCTGGCGCCCCCCGGGGCCGATCCCGACCTGCCAGCTTGGGCGCCGCGTAATGGGGGGGTCATAAATGGGGGGGTGTCGCGGGTGGTCCGAAAAGGTACCCAAACGGTACCTAAACGAGCCCCCTGGGGCTCCGGAGGGGCCCGAAAGGGGCACGAAAGGGGACCTTTTTTGACCCCCCCATTTGTGACCCCCCCATTAAGCTACGCCCAACCAGCGGTGACGACCTGCTCGCGGCTCTCGAGACTGGTTGCCGCGCGCAGGTTGCCGCCGCGGGGGGGGGGGGCGGGCTCGGCCCTGGGGGGGCCGCCGGGGCCAGGGCCCTCGGCCCAGCGGTTGTGGTCGTCGTTCCTTCGCTCCTGATTCTCAGGAGGGAGAATAAACACAGACACGATCGATCGTCGAATCTCCAGAACATATAGGAAAAGATGGGCTTTGGGGGGGGGAAGACGAAGACCCAGAAAACATTTTGGAAGATCTGGGTAACCCTGGGATCTGTGTGTATTTAGTTGTGCGTCCCAGGGCCCCTTCAGATTCTCGCTGCCTCCCTCTCAGCCGGGTAGGGGGGTCGCGTCGCCAGGCGGTCGACGCCCTCGGGGCCGGGGCCCCAAGCGCCAGCCTGGCGAGCGCGCCCTGCGCGACGCGCCGCCGACGAGTGGGAGGATGGGGAGGCGGAGGTGGGGCCGAGGATAGAGGGGGGAGGGGCGAGGATAGAGGAGGAGGAGGAGGAGGAGGAGGAGGAGGAGGAGGAGGAGGAGGAGGAGGAAGAGGACGAGGAGGAGGAGGAGGAGGAGGAGGAGCAGAAGGAGGAGGAGGAGGAGGGGAGGAGGGGGAGGAGGAGAGGAGGAGGGAGGAGGAGGAGGAGGAGGAGGAGGAGGAGGAGGAGGAGGAAAAGGAGGAGGAAAAGGAGGAGAAGGGGGAGTGGGAGGGGAAAGAGGGCGGAGAGGAGGGGACGACAGGAGGAGGGGACGATTCGAGGAGGAGGAGGAGGAGGCGGAGGAGGACGGCGCCGACGGCGCCGACGACTCAAAGTGGGGGAGGGAGCAGGGACGGGGAACGGGAATAGGGGAGGAGGGATCCTGTCACACGGGGAGGCCCTTTTCTGACAGATCCTTTCGATTGAATGCGCGAGCGCCAGAGTTGCGCCGCAACCTGGTGTCTGTGCGTCCATCAGTACTGGGCGAGGGGGTGGAGGGTTGGATGAGGAGCAGCAGAAGCAGGAGCGCGGGAATGGCAGACGCAGGCGGTGGATTTGTTGGAGGAAAAGGGGGGATGACGACGGCAAGAAGCGGGGGGACGAGGGGGAGAAGAGGGAGGAGCAGGAGGGGGAGGAGGCAAAGGAAGGAGAGAAGGTGGAGGGCGAGGAGGAGGGGGAAGATAAGGGGGCGGGGCAGGGGAAGAGGGAGGAAAGCTGCTGCTGCCGCCGCCGACGACGACTACGCTGTCAAAGATGATGATGCTGATGATGATGATGCTGATGATGAGGAGGAGGAGGAGGAGGAGGAGGAGGAGGATACCGATGACGATGCAACTGGCGATGCCGATGACGATGATGCTAATGATGACGATGATGCTGCTGCTGATGATGATGGTGGTGATGATGATGGTGATGGTGATCGTGATGGTGATGGTGATGGTGGTGATAGGGGGTGGTGATGTTGGTGATGGTGATGGTGATGGTGATGATGATGCTGATGATGATGATGCTCAGGATGCTGACGATGAGAATAATGAGGATGAGGTTGAGGTTGAGGTTGAGGTTGAGGTTGAGGACGAGGACAATGATGGTGATGGTCATGGTCATGATCATGGTCATGGCCATGGTCATGGTCATGATCATGGTGGTGATGCTGATGCTGTTGATGCTGATGCTAATGCTGATGCTAATGCTGATGCTAATGCTGATGCTGATGGTGGTAGTGGTGGTGATGGCGATTGCGATTGTTATGGTAATGGTGGTGATGCTGCTGGTGGCGATGGCGATAGCGATGGCGATGGCGATGGTGATGGCGATGGCGATTGCGATGACGATGACGATTCCGATGACAATGGTGAGGATGACGCATACTGGTGGTGGGGAAGATGTGCACGATGATTATGAGTATGATTATGATGGTTATGGCGAAGTGCGGGTGATGGTGATGATGATGAGGAGGAGGAGGAGGTGGAGGCGGAGGAGGAGGATGGTTGTGGTGATGATGCTGCTGATGATGATCATCATGATGATCATGATGATCATGATGAGGATGATGTGGAGGCAAATGGGTAGTATGACAGGGGCTTTAGGCTGTAGGCGTTTGGAAGTTCTCATCCTTTTGGGGGGCATCCAGAGGTCTCTGGATGCCAGGCCCTGGGGGCCTCTGCATTGCACTGTACTCCTCTCCCGCTCCCTCGATGCCACCGCAATGTGAACGTCTTCCGTGTGTTTTTTTGGCGTCCTCGTTTTGATCATGGATCTGATCGGCGGGTTGAATCTGCTGCGATTGCAATCTGGGATGTGGTCCTCACCGCGACAAACTGCCGTAGTCGTGCTGAGGTGGCGGCTTTCCTGTTCTGCATGCATTTCGCAGTGCTCCCTCCCGTTCTCAACGGCCAGACCGCGCGCCCGCCCGCTCCGGCGCGGTTCCAAGGCAGATTCCTCACATGTCGTTCGTTGAGAGTCGGTATCTGAAGGGCTTGTTGCTTGTTGAAACATTTTGGGGGCCATTATGGTGCCTCTCGGGGGCATCTTGGGGCCTCCGGGGTCATCTTCGGGCAATCTTGGGTAATCTCGGGGCTTTGAGTCCGTTGGGGCCCGTCCTGAGGGCGTCTTGGGATCATCTTGGGGCCTCGATGGGCAATCCTTGGCGATTTGGTCTGCATCTTGCGGCCTTTTGGGGCCACCTTGGTGCCATCTTTGGTGGCAAGCAATCTCGGGCGCTCTGGGGGCCGTCTTAGAGCTCTTCTGAGACACCTTGAAGCAAAACGTGGGAGGAGAAAAACGTTGAAACCATGATGCCCCATCTTGGAGGCATCGTGGGGCCATCTTCGGCCGTCTTGTGCTCTGGGAGCCCTCGTCGGAGCCTCCTGGGGCCGCCTCAGAGGCCTCTTGGACACCCCTGGCCGTAAGGTGGCGTCCACTGGGAATCTTGCGGCCACAGTGGGGGCCCCTGCCAATGAGGCACCCTGCGTGCCTCCAGGCTGCCCTGGGCTTCTTGGGCCTCGATGGCTTGGCTGTGGAAGGCGTGACGCTCCCACACCAACAATCGATGGACGTCCTGGGGTCTCAGGGCTGGGTTTCCTGTGGAAGGTTTCTCTTGTGGACTGGCCTCCGCTGCGGAGCGACCAGGATTTTTTTGGGGGGCACCCCCCTCCCCCCTCTGAGCATGCTGCCTGGGGCCCGCGGGCGGCTCACCGGGAGGTCGTCCGCAGCGGAGGCAGGGCTGAGAGGGCCGAGGGGCAGCGGTCCGGCGCAGCACCTCGCGGGCGGCCCCGCCACCCTGGCGAGGCAGGCCGGGATGTCTGGGCTCCCAGAGTCTCTGGACGCCCGAAACGGGTACGGAAAGAATGGGTACAATGCCCAACAGCAGTTCCTGTTCATTTTGAACAGGACTCGCTGTCCACGCCGCCGCGGCCTGTGTCCATTCGAGACAGAAGGCCGCCTGCCCCAGAGCGGCCGCCGTTGGTTTGGGACAACATTTGTTGTTGGGCATTGTGCCCATTTTTTCCGTGCCCATTTCGGGCGTCCAAAGAGTCATTTTGTTGCGTTTTCCAGTCTCCGAGCGCGTTCCACTACCCGCAAAGTGCCTTCTTGCGAACGCCCGACAGTCAAACAGGTCTTCCTCTCCAATTCTATGTGGTATATCGTGAATCCCCCGCGGCGGATCCAGGCGAGTTGCGAGTAGTTGATTTGCGAGTAGTGGAACGCGCCTGTCGAAGTTTGCACCCATCGTTGCGGCCGCTGCTGCCAGCTTACTCCGAGCGGCCCGTGCTCCTTGCCCCCCCCTACGGCCCCTGCTCGTCTCGCTCCCCTCCCAGAGATGGATAGCATCAGACATTCTTGTGATTTGTTGGCTCTGCCAGGAGATCCTCACCGGGTCGCGTGGGGCAACCACCATTGCCGAGGTTGTCCGAAATCAGCATCGGCCGTCGCATTGGAAACACCACTCTCTGTCCTTGTTGAGGCATGCCGGTTGCAAAGATGTGGTGCCATCGTTCTGCCCCTCGTTCATGGGCAGTGGGGGTACGACGGCTGCTGCGTGCAGCCGGCTTCGGCCCCGCCATCGGGCGCCTTCCTCGGTACATTGGCGCCTCTGGCGCCATGTAGGCGCCGGCAGAATCAGCCGCGTGACCTGATCCGCTACATTAAACCCGCACAGTAAGGACGGGCAACCTTCCCAAGGGTTAAGTCGGGCGTGTCCCTCTACAGGGGGAATATTCAAAAATAGTCCAATTACCTTGGCGACGTACCCAACCCCTGCGCAATGCTGGGCATGAGTAGCTTGGGAGACGTTATACGGGGGTGATGACGTGACATGGGCGCATATACTTCTTCGAGCGGCATTCGTGAGGCTCGCAGCCCCACAAGGATTCAAGGATTGCGATGTCTCGCTGAGATCTGCCTGGTGCCTCGCTCCGCTGAACCCGCCACCATCCTTCGAAAGTTGCGACGTTTTCGCAGATCCCAGCCCCCCAAGGACGGCGAGGCCCCGCTCAGATCTGCGCGGTGCCTCACTCCGCAGGACCCACCAGCAGCCCTCGAAAGTGGCGACAGCTTCGCAGATCGCAGCCCCCCAGGGACGGCGAGGTCCCGCTCAGATCCGCGCGGTGCCTCATTCCGCAGGACCCACCAGCAGCCCTCGAAAGTGGAGACAGCTTCGCAGATCCCAGCCCCCCAGGGACGGCGAGGTCCCGCTCAGATCTGCGCGGTGCCTCACTCCGCTGGACCCACCAGCAGCCCTCGAAAGTGGCGACAGCTTCGCAGATCCCAGCCCCCCAGGGACGGCGAGGTCCCGCTCAGATCTGCGCGGTGCCTCACTCCGCAGGACCCACCAGCAGCCCTCGAAAGTGGCGACAGTTCGCAGATCGCAGCCCCCCAGGGACGGCGAGGTCCCGCTCAGATCTGCGCGGTGCCTCACTCCGCAGGACCCACCAGCAGCCCTCGAAAGTGGCGACAGTTTCGCAGATCGCAGCCCCCCAGGCACGGCGAGGTCCCGCTCAGATCTGCGCGGTGCCTCACTCCGCAGGACCCACCAGCAGCCCTCGAAAGTGGCGACAGTTTCGCAGATCGCAGCCCCCCAGGGACGGCGAGGTCCCGCTCAGATCCGCGCGGTGCCTCACTCCGCTGGACCCACCAGCAGCCTCGAAAGTGGCGACGGTTTCGCAGATCGCAGCCCCCCAGGGACGGCGAGGTCACGCTCAGATCTGCGCGGTGCCTCACTCCGCAGGACCCACCAGCAGCCCTCGAAAGTGGCGACAGTTTCGCAAATGACAGCTCCCAGGCACGGCGACAGTTTCGCAGATCGCAGCCCCCCAGGCACGGCGAGGTCCCGCTCAGATCTGCGCGGTGCCTCACTCTGCTGGACCCACCAGCAGCCCTCGAAAGTGGCGACAGTTTCGCAGATCGCAGCCCCCCAGGCACGGCGAGGTCCCGCTCAGATCTGCGCGGTGCCTCACTCCGCAGGACCCACCAGCAGCCCTCGAAAGTGGCGACAGTTTCGCAGATCGCAGCCCCCCAGGCACGGCGAGGTCCCGCTCAGATCTGCGCGGTGCCTCACTCCGCAGGACCCACCAGCAGCCCTCGAAAGTGGCGACAGTTTCGCAGATCGCAGCCCCCCAGGACGGCGAGGTCCCGCTCAGATCCGCGCGGTGCCTCACTCCGCAGGACCCACCAGCAGCCCTCGAAAGTGGCGACAGTTTCGCAGATCGCAGCCCCCATCGTCGGCGAAGAGAGGGCAGGAGGAGGCGGGAGGCGGGAGGAGGAGGACGCGACCACACCCCTCTATTCAAAACGAATACCCAACCAAAGAGGGTTGGATAAAATAGTCTGGGGACGATTTCTGGACTATTTTTGAATATTAGGGGGTCATTTGTTTGCGTATGTTTCGCCCAAAATCCCTTTGTAGGGGGACACGCCTGACTTAACCCAAGGGTACCCTTGCATCCTTGCCCCCTTGGCCCATCCCTGGCGACTTTCGCTGGCCAGCCTCGTTCGTCAAACGTCACCACGGCCCTCCAAGGCCCTTGCATCCTTACCGTGGAGACCCCTGCCAGGAAGCACCCTGCGTGCCTCCGGGGCGCCCTGTGTTCCCTGGGTTTCGGCGATTCTGCGACTGAAGGCGCGACGCTCCCACACCAGCAATCAGTGGACGTCCTAGGGTCCCAGCTGTTGGGTTTCCCGTGGCAGGTTTCATGTGGACGGGCCCCTACTGCACTGCGCATCTTCGTGACACGGGTTGGCTGTAATCCCTCCTCTACCCTCCCCCCCCCTTTCGCCCGACCCGATCGGACGTCAGGGCGAAACGCGCGTCTCGCTCGCGGCCTGGTGACCCCGCCGCCCGCGGTCGGGCTCACTCCTCCTTGCCTGGGCACCGCTCGAGCGTGTGCACCTGTCCGCGGCGAGGACCCTCGAGGAGGAGGCGGAGGAGGAGGAGGTGGCGGAGGAGGAGGAGGAGGCGGAGGCGGAGGCGGAGGCGGAGGAGGAGGCGGAGGCGGAGGAGGAAGAGGAGGCGGAGGAGGAGGAGGAGGAGGAGGGGAGGAGGAGGAGGAGGAGGAGGAGGCGGAGGCGGAGGCGGAGGAGGAGGAGGAGGCGGAGGCGGAGGCGAGGAGGAGGAGGAGGAGGAGGAGGAGGAGGGGGAGGAGGAGGAGGAGGAGGCGGAGGAGGCGGAGGCGGCGGCGGAGGCGGAGGAGGAGGAGGAGGAGGAGGAGAAGGAGGAGGAGGAGGAGGAGGAGGAGGAGGAGGAGGAGGAGGAGAAGGTGACAGAAAGAGCGCGAAACCGACACAGGCACGGAGAATGGGCGCCCGAGCGATGGGAAGCCAGCCCTCGCCGCGGCCGCGCGCGCCGGGGGCACCGTGCTCCGCTCGGCCCCGTCGCTCGCCCCGGCTCCTCCTGGGCGTGCCCGTCCCCGGCCGTCCTCGAGGGGCCTGCCTCGGGGCACTCGGGGGCGGCAAAGAGGGGGGAGGGGGGGGGTGGATATCATGGCGGGGGCCATGATATTTCCCCAGATTTCATGGCGCCTCTTCTTATTTCATTACGTCCCTGGCCCCCCCGCTGGGCCGCGCACATGCCGCCGGTCATGATTTGCACCCCCCGCTCTTTGACGCCCCCCTCTTTGCCGCTCCCGAGGCACGGGCCGCGGGAGTGTGGAGCCGGGGCGCCGGCCGAGCCTTTCGGCTTCATGTCGTGACGAACCAGCAACACACACCCATACCCATAAAGGGGGTCGGAGAGGGCCATGGGTGCGTGTTGTCGGATGGGGGTCCCCGCTCGAACGGGAGCGTTCCCCAGGATCCGACAACCCGCACCCATGCCCATGGCCAGTCCTCCTCTCAACGACCCTCCTATGGGTATGGGTGTGTGTTGCTCGTTCGTCATTTCAAGGGAGGAAAACA